ATTCTGCATTCACTGTTTCAATGTCAGCAAAACAGGAAGAGACTTCAAACTTGTTGGCTTTTTATTTTCTGCTAGAATAAATTGTGTTTTCAGGCGCTCAAGAACAAAACAAAGTTAGCCTTTGGTTATAGAACAAAGCTCAATATATTTAGTAAAATCTATCACTAGTCTGTGTTGCAACTACACTACTACTACGAGTATTGCTTTTGGTGAGTGGAATAACATTCCATTATATTTTTACCCATTTTCATTCATTCATATGCAAAACAATTTTCCCCATATAGTGTACTTAACACAAAAATGTAAACTGAAAAATGAAAATATAGAAGTGCTAAAAACTGAGTTTCTAATGGGCACTTAAGGCTCATTACAAGTTGTGCTTGTTTTAGATAGTTCTCAACAGTTTCATTAGGGTGGATTTCATCTGTCAAGGCTTAGGGGCATTGCTGCTTTGATCTACAGATATCCTTACACTGGCAACTGCACTTTCACTCCAAGTAACTGAACTGAAACTCTCCACTGTGTTTGTGGTGTCAGTGTGTTGTGTTAACATTTTAATATAAAACTAGCTGACAAACAATTTGTCAGTGTTTACAAGGAAATTGGCAGCAGGTTTATCCAGTTAAAGATAATTCACAGGTGGCATCGAACACTGCAATAATTGCAAAAATGGAACTTGATACCGATGGACAATTGCTGGAGATGTGATGGCCAGGGTGCCTCGATTCTACATATTCTATGGAGCTGTTGAGGATGTCTGTTACCCACCAGCTCGATAGCTGACCGGGAGGTCGAGGCTCACTAGAACCGGCGAGAACACCTGACTCCTGGCACATCGTTTTCTACACACCCCTGCCCCCTTGCCCACCCATTTAAAGTTCAGCTTCACGATTGGATTTTATTTAATATTTAAGTGTTACTTGGAGAGCTTTTTTTTTTGTGTCTGTTTTGGGTCCAAACCTCTGTCGAGCCTCCACCTCATGAAAGAATGTCTGGAGATTGTCTTTTGCCTCCGCCAAACACACTGCACCACCCCTCCTCTTCAGCAGAGCCACACCTTTGCCACAGGAATGTGAAGTAATTGAAGAAATATTTGCAGCTAAAATTCGATTCATAATAAAACAGTATCCTACATAAATAAAGTTGGGCTTTAAAATAAAATTTTAAAAAAACCTCCAAGCCATTCTCTTTTTCTTTTTTTTTTAGGTGCCCAATGAGGCATTCTCATTGCATAGTTCAACTTAAACTAAAACTCCAATGCATTTCAGCATACAGGCCTGCATCAAAGATTTAACCAACACACTAGATACTAGATTTTTTCTAGTGGTGTTCCACCAACAGGTGTCATGGTCTCCCAGTCCTCCTGTTCCAGTTCACCCATTTCTCTCTTTTGCTCTCTC